GAAGTTGAGCATGAAACTGAGCAAACTCAGGGAGGCAGTGAAGGACAGGAAGGCCTGGCGCAATATGGTTCATGGGGTCACGAAGAGTCGGACACGACTTAACGACTAAACAACAACAACAACAGCAGGGTGAAGTAGGAGAGCTTATAGGGCACGTACAGTGCCCTCCCATCTCATTCCAGGCCCATTCTCTGTTCAGTTCCCCCACCTGTCAGTTGGGCTGTTCTGGAACACAGCTTTGCTGGTCTTTCAGAGAAGGGCTAGAAGGGAAAACTGGCAGAACTTTTGTCAATTTATCTAGCTCCCAAATATTCCTAATCAGTAAGTGCTGTGAGAGAAAGCCAGTGCTGGAAGTGAGGGCCTTAGCCAGTAGCACCTAAAATTATGCCACAGAATACACAACATGGCAATGTAGTATATAAAATGACACACCCACCACACCACACCACACCACACCACCACAGTAATAACAACTGTAAGAGAACATAGCCACCTTACTTTTGACAAAAGCACAGTAAAACTTGCAATACCCTCATTTGGGACAGAATCAGCACCCACAGCTGGCAGAATCTGGTTCTCTTTTTTGTTTAAATAAAACTTTGACAAGGAGAAGAAGCTACCACTCTTTCAAAAGTTTGCTAAACTCATGTTAAAAACAATTAACATTTATCTGAAATCACTGGGAGCAGTCATCCAACAGGTTGGGGTCAGGTAACAATACGTTGATGATACCAAAGTGGGGAATATCTGTGATATGGTGCACTAAAGCATATATCTTCATCCCAGGCTAAGGAAGTAATGCAGTAGAAGTCCCAACACAGTGCCTAGATGCTGTTAGAATTTGGATGGGAAAAAAAGCAGATTGAAGTTGAATCCCAGCAAGCCTAAGTTACTGTTTTTGTAGAAACCATCTGGTTCTTTCTCCTCTCCAGTGGTAAATTTGGAAGGGGTAGCATTCCCCTGAAGAAGGAGGTCCATGACCTAGGGATTTTCCTAGACTCACAGCTATTGCTGGATAAGCAAGTTGAAGTCTGGGTAGAGAGCCATCTGGTACATAACGTGTGTCCTTGCCAGGACCTTCTCCAGGAAACATGCACTCTACCAAAAGGGCAGAGATGAGTGGGGGGAGTTGAAATGCACACTGCAGTTGTATGTGCAGGTGGACTGTCAGGGGCCTGAATTTTAATCATGTGACTGCAGGGGTGCTGCAATGGCCGTAACTTCGAGGACTGGCCATAACTACTATTTGTTCAGTGATGTCATAACTTTGTTAACATAGTCATTAAGCGAGGATCTTCTGTATGCCTCCTATAGCCCAAGCCAAAATGGCCATGAAGGGCAGTTCCCAGTAACTGGAGGGGACGGACATGCACACGGCAGCCAAAAGTAGTTAGTGGTGGTTAGTCAGATCACAGGCCTTGATTATGTAATCTTCAATGAGGCACTGCAGAAAGTTTATATGGCAAGATTTGTATCAGGAGAATATGAAAAACACTACTTTAAAAATAGAACAGCTAAAGACAATTTAAGACACTTGTAGTGGGCTGGGAGCAAGACTAAGGCTACATAATGAAGACATGTCCTCTAAAAACAGTTAGCAGGGTATCTTTGCTGACAGCCATCTGTTGGGGTTGCATTTATTTGGAATCCTGCACTGAGCAGGGAATTTAACTCAATGGCCTAAATGTTTCCTTCCAATTTTAAAAGTCTTTGTTCTGGCAAATAGTGATTCTGTTATTATAGGTCAGAGGCAGGCAAAGTGGAATGATATACTGTATAGCTTTGCTATGTTGTATGGCTGAATGATTTCTTCTAGAAAGCACCAGAGAATACGAGGAAGCCCCTACTGTAGCACTGCTCAAAGTTTAGTAGGCTTTTTAAAGAATAAACAAAGCTGAGAGAGAAACTTCATATTAATACTGTTTTTCCAAAAGAAAATGCAGCCTCCCAAGTCCTGTGTATTTATTTTTCCTAAGGAAAACAAATACTACACAGTATTGCTTGTGGGAGCAGAATTCCCAAAACTACTTTTACAGGAATTAGTGATGGAATTCTTCTGTATTGTCTAGATTAAAGTATTGTACTGTACAATTTATTTTTTGTTACCCTATCTGTTATTGATAATAATTGTCAATTCAGAACATAAACAATTTTATAAGATTGTGATGGAAAAGAAAGTTAGAACTGGGTGACACCTGCATTAATGATACCAGTCTCCAAAATGATATCTTTTAGAGAAATGTGTCATTGGATAAATTTCTCCAGTGCAATATTTTGCGAATCATCATGAAACATTGCCAATCCCACATCAGCCAGCCTTTCCTGAACAGTGGTAGAATTAAGAGGGATGCATTCCCCATGTTTCCTTCCTAGCAAAGGCAATCAAAACTCTAGCACCCATAAAACTGAGTTTTTGATGGTACTTCATCTAAAGATCAAGAATGGAATACTGGGCACTGGTCAAAAATTACTCAGCATGATAATATTCAAGCAGGACTTTTTAAACAAATACATTATCATAGTTATCTTAGGCCAGATAGAACAAATCTGTCTTAAAGACAGACATTGACTAATTCTCTGATCTTCTGGTCAGTTCCCTCTGAATTCTTTTATATGGTAAAAATAATAGAGGTCAAAGCAGATAGATCTCATTTCTAGGTAACCTGTCTGTGCACACCAGCATTACAAATTGAAAAGTAGCTCTCTGATGTGAAAAATCAGACACTAAATCTACACACATTGGATTATGCAAATTATGGCATTCAGGATAGAACAGATATTAGTAATTTCACCTGCAAAAAGATTTTGTAAAGTAGTTGTGGTTTGCACTGTAATTTATTTCATTTGATTAGGCTGCTTACACATGAATAAAAACCAAACAGTGTTAAAGTACTTGAATGGAGCTATTTTGTATAGAGGATTTCATTCAGTTAAGTTAGGCAAGGGTAGCTCAGTTCTATTTTGTGGAGAAAATTTAAGTTCTGTTTGTACGCTGTCATTCAATGTTATAGTTGGGAAGATAAATAAGTACTTCAGCAATAGGGAATGTACTTAGTTTTGCCTCTTCCACAGTTTTAATACCTATAGAAGAAAGAGGAGAGATAATTCACTTGCAATTGCTTAATGTGTAAAGAGATTGTACTGGTGCATTAATTCAAACTGCCTGATGCTGCTTTAGAGGTGGCTTAATTGTGTGCGTGTCTTGCTAGTTGAAAGGAATAAAGAACTTTTTTTTCAGTATTACAGATCAGCGTTGACTGCTGTCTATTTATCTCTATTTGTTTGACAGTACAATATGTAATAATTATAAGAAACGGAATGATAACTTGTGTTAAAATATTTGCATGGATGTGTTTGTACTCTTCATGTCAAACTGCATGCAAGAAACTTTTAGTGAGTGTTGCGTGCTTTCTCCAGATGTTTGGCAATATTGCATTTCTTTGTTGCATTGCAGCTTACATGAATATTGAATTTATATGTTGTTTCTGCATTGCTTAAAAAGGCTTGCTTGCTTACTTGGACTCCAAACAGAAATGTTAATTTACACTAGAATAAAGTCTTTATTTCCTTAAAGATTTAACAGAGGCTTTGGATGAAGATGCAGACCCCACAAAATCTGCACTATCTGCAGTTGCAACTTTGGCAGCTGCATGGCCCCAGTTACATCAGGGTATGTGTGGGTTTCCTTTTTTTTTGGTTATATTGTTTTGCTCTATTTTACAAAAAGTATAATTTACATTGTTTGCTTAAACATTTTTAGAACTCAAATAGACTAACTTGATTCTATCATTAACTGTAGGTTGCAATTTGAAAAACCTGGATCTTGATAGCTGCACTCTTTCTGAGATTCTCAGACTTCATATCCTAGCATCAGGTGCAGATGTAACATCAGCAAATGCTAAATATCGCTACCAGAAGCGAGGAGGATTTGATGCTACGGATGATGCTTGTATGGAGCTAAGATTGAGTAATCCTGGATTGTTGAAAAAACTCTCTTATACCTCAGTATATGATTTATCATCAGGTAATAGAGCCAAGCCAGTTTCTTATGCTCTGTGACAGAAAAACTACAGAAAGCTTAATTAAGCAAATTTGCAGGAAAGTTTTGAAGGATAATCACTAATCATGTCACTGTAACCTTCTAGTTGTGAAAATACTATGTTGAAAATTTACAATCAAAGTTAGACTCAATATGTATGGCTTTATAAGAATAGTGAGGATGAGTTTGGTTATTTTACAACTTTAGTTCAGGTTGATGGTTTTAACCTTATAGAAGTTACTCCAGTACTTAAAAGCTTCAATGGCTGATCAAAAGAATTATTTTATAGTCTATAAATAGTTGGATGTTCCCAGTGGAATTCTGAGCTGTTTGTTTTGTTTAAAAGGTTGGCACCTTTGCCAAAAGTACCTTTGAATGTCCCTTCAGTTTCAGTTTTTTATCTGGTGTGAGGGATGGGTGAGTTGATGTTACATGAGTCGTTAGGGTTTTATTTACATACTGTGTATAAGATAGATAGATAGATAGATAGATAGATAGATAGATAGATAGATAGATAGATAGATAGATTTAAACAATATCTTGGAGTTTCTATTTGTTAATACTCTATCTGGGTAGGACTAATCTGTGAAATCTAATAATCATCTATATGTACAATAGATCCCTGTTTTTATATCCAAAGTGTCTCTATGATTTGACGAGCTAAATGTCATTTCTGGGTTAAAAAGGCAAACCTCATTTTTAATGAGGCCAACTGACTATGAAACATCTTTTTTTATATATATTTATCAGCGGAAAAAATGACGATTCTTCATGCTCTTTGTGGGAAACTTCTAACTCTTGTTTCTACTCGAGACTTCATTGAAGACTCTGTTGATGTATTGCGACAAACAAAACAAGAATTCAGAGAATTAAAAGCAGAACAGCATCGCAGAGAAAGAGAAGCTGCAGCAGCAAAGTGAGTTCAAACATGACCAAAGTAGAATTGTAATTCTAGAAAGCTATTCTGCAAAATGTTGACAGCATACAGTAATTATAATAATCTTTATAATAGCTTACAATTTGGTTTATAAAAATATTTAAGGCTAAGGTTAGTTTAATTTCCTTTATTTCAAACAGGTTATCTATAATAATGTAGTCAGCATTTTTAATATAAAATGTAGGTATGTACTGATATCCTGACCTAGAGATTTCAGCATGTGCAAATGTATTTAAGAATATGAAGTATGTTAGGATTTCTGATCTTCTACAGTAGAAAAATGTGCTCAGAAGAAATAACTGAAAATACTATATGCTGTAACTGATAAATTGATTATGCCATGTAACTTCAGAATCCGCAGAAGAAAAGAAGAAAGATTGAAAGGACAGGAACAAAAGATGAAAGAGAAACATGAGAAATTGAAAGAAGAACAGAAAAATCCTGTAATTGAAGTGTCTGTTAAGTATGTTCAATTCTTATTTAAGGTTCATTTGTCACTATGCTACTACTTAGCTGAATGTTTTGATGTGCTTCTCTTAATCTACACCAGTGGTTCCCAAATTTTTCATCTTCATGCCCTTTTTTAATTTTTTTAGAAAACCTCACACCTGCCTGTTTCTCATTTAAATAAATTCCCCTTTTAACAAAAATGCAATTAATAATCAAAGCTCTAAATTCTAAAACTTGATAGACATTTTTATTTTCTAATTAAAAAATAGGCACCATTTTTATTTTTTTCTTATAACAAAATTTAATGAAGACATAATTCAACCTAAAAATAGGTTAAATTTCATATGAAGAATGTTTTCTTCATGAGTTGGGAAATCCTAGGGTTGAAATATTTTAAGTGTACAACATAAATTATTTTAACATCTAATTTATTTCTTTGTTTCATTTTTATAAAGAGTTTTTTTTACAGAGGTATATGGAAGAAAAGAGAAGAATGCTGCTTTTCCAACCTTTGGGTAAACCAGGAAATGTAAAATTCCTCTAAGCTTGAATTTTTGATATTATCTTTCTCATTCAAATCGTGTTCAATTGTGTCTGGTGGTGAATCAAACAACACTGCATGGATTGTGTACTAATTTATGACAGGGTCGCCTGAAGATTTATCTGAAATTAGCAGATAAATTCACCTTTGTTGCAGTCCTGGGGAAGCAGAATTTTGTTCATACCCTCTACATTTCTGGTTCAAATTATGATGCTATAATTGCATTGAATCACACAAAAAAGAAGCTTTCACTACCCTAACTTGACATATGAGATCTTCTGTAGAGTCATTAATGTGACATTTCACTGAATTTTCAAAATGTTAAATCTCTAATAACATTTTCTTGCTTCTGGCACTTGGTACCATCACAGCTGCTTTCAGCAAGCTTCAGAGAAGTTTCTCCTACACTATATGCCTTCTTAGCTATGAGTAATAACAGTTCTTAAGAAGCTTCTGTTACTTTGGCTGATGAACAGCTGCAGCAGAATTTGATGCTATATAATTTCAATTTTTGAACTTTAGAATTAAAAATTCCTTGGGCTTGTCTTTCAAGTACTCTGTTTTTTGTAATGTGTCATTCAAGACAATTAGGCTCCACAGCATTGTTAAGAACTGAATGGCATTTTATACACTGAAAATGGGTAATTCAAATATTTTCCTTGACAGTGAAGCCATACATAATACAGTATGGATTGTATTTTCTTTTCTTTATGGCCATCTGATGTTATTAAGATATGTGTATGTGTTATATTTCACAAATACATTTAACAGATGTAAGTTGTTTTACAGACACTGGTATTGTTATTTGCATACATAGTCTTATATATTTTTATCCACCACCAGTCAAAACTGAACAGTTCTGATCATTCCCAAATTGTCACAAGTGTGCCTGAAATACTGAGAATATTTTATCACTTTCTACAACAAACTATGTCTATAATTTTCTTTTTAAAAGGATCACATTCTCATGCTCCCCACAAATAGGAATTTCTTCGTACTTTGTACACCCCAGCGGACCATAGGTCCTAGTTTAAGAATCCCTGAGCTACATAAGATTAGTATAAACTTTCCAATTTAGTATAACTAAAGTATATTAGTATAACTTTCCAATTATTTTCAAGCCCTTTTCAAATTACTTCAGTCATGCTTACTGTATTCATTCAAAGGAAGATTTTGTTGTTTAGTCGTTAAGTCGTGTCCGACTCTTCGTGACCCCATGAACCATAT